ATAATAATAATATGTTTAATATATGTTTATTATTATAATATAATAATATGTTTATAGAATATCTTAAAGGTGTGAATTAAGTTTAATCCATTTGAAAAGATGGTGCTGACAATATAATAGTGCATGATTACAATTTAATAGTATTGACATTTTATTCTCGTCAGTTGCTTGCTGGCGGATGGGCGCAAAATTTTGAACCTAAGTGACAAAATTATATTTCTGCAAAATTTCTCCTCCAACCTGGCTGAAATTAAACTTTGAAAGGAAATTTTTTACAGGGGGCGACTATGTGTCTGGGAATTTTTTTTAGGGGTTCAATTTTTGTAGAGGGAGTGCCAAAAAAATTTAGCAATGTGGGGGGGGGGGATACTACTGATGTTGGCCCCCACCGGCCAAACATTAGCCAGCATGCCACTGATTCTCGAAATTAGGGTCATGGTGATAGCAAACTAAGTTTAGTTCTAAGAAATATATGGTATTTGAAAGCAGATTACTGACTGCATCAAAATAGAGTTTTTATGTAAATGTTCTGAATAGACTAGTTTAAAATAGAAAAAGCAAGTAAGCAACTTCCAATGGCTATCCATATAATGAAATCAAGGTTGGTTAGGACCCACTGAATAGGTTTAAGATGTTATTTTGTTATTATATATTGTGCAGTACATACAGAATAATTTCACTTGTAAAAGTATAGTGCCAGATACAGTAGGCAGTGTGTTGCAATATATAGAATATCTTAAAGGTGTGAACTGGTAAGTGGTAAGGTTTTAATACTGACACTTCAAGCCAAAAACATTCATCGGAAGTAAATTCAAGACCGTTGTGTCAAAATCTTGGTAGTTAGTTTATTGAAAAACTGCAGATTATTTATACTGTTTACAAATAGGTAATATGACACATTTTAAATGTTTTACCTCGTTGTAAAATTGCACCTCCAGGGTCATGCGCAAATCATGTATTCCACTTATCTCATCAAACGAAGTGATCAGGAGATTATTACGATCAACAAGAATGTAGTTGGTTTCCCCCTCTACCATCTCCTCGATGTTTTGGATCTCGAGAGGCCTGCCATACACAATTACACTTTGAAGATATCTTAGGATCTCCACATGATTTGTTATACTCTCCGCTTTACAATAAGCTACAACCTCTTGTGCAATATCATTAACTGTCTTATTACCCGAGTTATCATCAATATCAGTGTGTGTCAAGTCTACTGTCACATGGTCATTTGGGGTGACTGGTGCATGGGTGACTGTTTCACCAACTGGAAAAATGGTATCACCGTCTCCTTGATAACTGGTCACACTCTCAGGAACAGGCATGTTAGCTCTGGTTGTACCCTCCACATGCAAACTTTCTCTTTGATTGTTGTCATTATCTGGGCTGACTGTATCCGGATCAATTTCATCTTCAGATTCCTCCAAAAGACCTGCGTTGCATGTAAATATGTGGTCTCGTAGCTTTCGCATCAAAATCTCCCTATCGCAGTATTTGCATTTCTCTTTTAGGGAAGAATCACTTTCTGCAACAAGTGATTTGGTTGAGAGGCTCGCTTGAATTGGTCTCAAGTAAATTTTACTTTGACCACTGCCCACATTTGATTTCAGATCTTTTACTGACCACGAACAATCAATCAATCGAAGATCTCTGCAGTTTGGTAAACAGTGCAACATCTCAAACCCCCCAATACCTTGTAACTGTGGAAACCCAAGGACCACACCATCATTATCTTTGACATCAGACATTATTTTGTTGGTGACTGTTTCCTCATCGTCATCGATTTCAAACTTAATTTTCTTGACCCCTAATCCAGCTTTCGAAAGAATTTGCTTTTCAGACGCATTTGGGACTTTCGCGGCGAACCGATCAGCTAAGCACATGAACTGTGCAGTCCATGTCCTTTTTTTCGCGGTGGCAGCGTTCTTTCGCCTTCTGTTTCCTATTGCTGCTCTTGATAAGCGACCAGAATTACTACCACCAGCAGTCGAAGAGTTGAACAAAAGAGCACGTTCAGTTCGTATCCGACTGGACATACTTTCACCACTTGTTCCTGAAGTAGAAGAGGAATCCGTATTTGCATTTTCTTCAAATTTCTTGCGACATAATTCACGCAGACGCACTCTGTCACCAATTGTCTCCACGCCAATACGAATAAGTTCGTTGTCAGTTGCTGACAATACAGTCTCGACTTCAATTTTCTCTTCTTTAAATCTTTCTGCAAGTGTACCAAGATGTATTAGTTGTAAGATATTGTCCATGACTGCAATAAGCTGTATTACAATAATATAATTATTATTGTATAAACTGTATTTGGAACGAAAAAGCTTAAGACCTCGAGGCAGTGCTTCCATTTTCAAAATCAAAATTTCACATCTTTGTCATCAAAATTTCTCTAAATTCCTTAGGTTGTATACGTTATTTCCTTGAAAATTCCTTGAAATTTCTTAATTAAGCAGTTTTACAGTGATTTTGTAGCAATACAAAGGATTTAATTAATTTTCAAGGCACAAAATAGCACAATTAACAAAGATGTGGGCTAGCTAAAAACCACAGGCTATTATACTGTTTAAAATTAAATATTTGTTATTAATTTAGGGAAAGTACATTTATTACACCGAGGGAGGGGGATGAAGATGTCTTGAAAAAAGCTCATATTTTTACAGGGCCCCTGTTGAGGTTAATGGTAAATTTCGATGCCCCCCCTCCAAGAATTCGAAATCGAAGGAGGAGTACAATCCGGAATTCTCCCTTATAGATACAATTTGCAGTTCCTCAAGATGTCTGATATACTCAAGCATGTGCTTCTCCTCAACAAAACTACCGATCTTCTGCTTCTTTCACCTCACTAGCGCCTGATGAAATGGCACCGTCTTTAAAAAAAAAATTTGAATTGGCTCTAGGGGCGAAATTATCAACAGGTTGTTGTTGTCCATCATTCAGCGAAGTCGGAGTCTTGAACACGTTCATGTAGTGGCCAGGATTTTGTGGATCAGGGTAATGTGCTGGAACCTTACAGAATGTCGCCCCCGCCCAACGTATCTCCCGGCATCTGTTGCAAATTTCTTTGCATGCCTGTCAAAAATGCATGCAAAAGTGCCAGTATGCTTCAATTTCTTTAATTTTCATCCTGTTTGTACTAAATATCCCATAAACATAGAACATATCGTAATTCTTACAAATCGTATGCTTTTTTTGTTTTTGGAACTGCTACTTTTTAGCGGGTAAATTACTTCACAAACCTGGCCCCAAAAAATTTAAAATAAGCTATAGGTGATTTCATGTATCCATTTAGAAGAGCAGACTAAGGATATCTTAAAACTGAAATCGGTTTCAAATACAACCATCAGGGATGTAGCAAAGCATCTGACGTTTGGGGGGGGGGGATGTCAGAGGATTATACGCGTAATAATTATAATAAAGCTTTTTGTGATCGATTGGAACTCTCACACTAATTTTTGGGAGAAAAGGGGTGTCTGGGGGTCCTTCCCCCAGAAAAATTTTACATTTTTGAAGCTCTAGGACTGAATTTCTGGCATTTTCTAAAGCAAATTTCGCAAACAAATTGCATGTAAATTGACTGTATTTTACAAAAATATCATCATTTCACAAATTAAAATAAAATAATTACTTTATTACGCAAATTTTACCTGAAAATGTCAAAATTCTAACTTGAATTTGCTGCGGTCAAAACTTTGAAAAGTTTAGAGCCCCCCCCCCCTTCAGTATATCAAGAACTTTCAGAGCCCCCCCTTTAATGCCAGAAAATATTTCGGTGCCCCCCCTTAACATCTTCATCCCCCCCCCTTGGCATAATAAATGTACTTTCCCTTACAAGAGATACATTTACATTGATATGATTAATTAACTATTCACAGCATTTGGCGCAAAAAGTTACTAAATTCCATCGCTCAAAAACTTTCGGAAATTTTAGGAAACACGAGGAAAAAGTTGAAAACAGATTTTTAATTAAAGATAATTGATAATTCACTTAAAAATTCAAAAAATAGTGAAACCTTCTTCTTCACTAATGCGCTTGGGTGAATATTTAAGTTTTTTCGGAAAAAATCCTTAGATTTCCTTAAATTTTTTCTCTTCCTTAGATTTTCCTTTTCGACAGTAAAATTTCCTTAGAAAAGGAAATTTCCTTGAAAATGGAAGCACTGCCTCGAGGTTGGACATTGTCGGAAAGCTATCGTTATGTTGTCGTCGACTACGGCCATTAAATTACTGCTGGTTTAGAATAACGGAGGCTCGCATAAACAAAAGCACCCAATATAAAGACAAAAGCACCCAATATAAAGACAAAAGCACCGAATATAAAGCTGAAAGCACCCAATATAAAGCTAAAAGCACCCAATATAAAGAATAAGGCACCCAATATAAAGACAAAAGCACCCAATATAAAGACAAAAGCACCCAATATAAAGAAAAAAGCACCGAATATAAAGCTAAAAGCACCCAATATAAAGCTAAAAGCACCCAATATAAAGACAAAAGCACCCAATATAAAGAAAAAAGCACCGAATATAAAGCTAAAAGCACCCAATATAAAGACAAAAGCACCCAATATAAAGAAAAAAGCACCGAATATAAAGCTAAAAGCACCGAATATAAAGACAAAAGCACCCAATATAAAGACAAAAGCACCCAATATAAAGACAAAAGCACCCAATATAAAGCCGAAAGCACAGAATATAAAGCTAAAAGCACCGAATATAGAACTAAAAGCACCGAATATAAAGACAAAAGCACCGAAGATAAAGCTAAAAGCACCCAATATAAAGACAATAGCACCGAATATAAAGCTAAAAGCACCCAATATAAAGACAAAAGCACCCGATATAAAGACAAAAGCACCCAATATAAAGACAAAAGCACCGAATATAAAGCTAAAAGCACCCAAAATAATCAGTTTTAATAACATGAGACAGTCCTGGCGTTCCATACTATATACTGTACTGGGTCTTTAACACCGCCATTGTCTGTGGTGGATTGAGATGGGTCTTGAACACCGCCCAGGTCTGAGTTAGATGCTAGTGGGTCTTGAACACTATTACAGCCAGAGTTTGGTGGTAGTGGATTTTTAACACTGGCCCGATCTGAGTTAGATGGAAGTGGGTCTTTAATACCTTCCTGGTTGAGTGCATCAGCCTTCTTGTATACTTCATAAATCCACTTTTCATATGCTTCCAAGATACGCACACAATCAGAATACTTTTTCTCATCAGCATCGAGGATGGGAAGTGGTATAATCATTGATTGTTTTGCCATTTCTGAGGAAAACCGATGATTGATATGTTTTGGAACAACATCATCAAGGAACTTGAACTTCTTGCAGAAGTTTATACATATTCTTGCAATGAGAACCTTAAAATTTTCTTTCAGCACCTGAATTTCATGTTTACCTAGTGTAAAAATGCTCCGAGGACAAGTCAATATGTCATTAAGTGGACTGACGTTATCCAAGGTTAAGAAACTTAGTCGGTTTATATAGAAGTTGGATGCAAACAAATGAAGGTCTTGATTCTCATGTCCCAATTGTCCCCCGTGCCTCTTAAAGTGCTATTCTGCTTTACTGCTTTCATAGCTTTATCCATGAAATCTCCACCAATCAGCCGTAATAGAACATCACGATTTGAATAGGTTTGCACAATACCATATTTATGAAAGCGTTCCTGCAACTGCATTTATGAGACATAATTAGTTACAGAATATTAACAATACCATTAAAAGGGGCCATATAGCCACAGTCATTTCTTTATGGCTTTGCTACCTTAACTATTGTTACACTTTTTATTAAGTTTCATTGTTACTACATGACGTTCATAATTGCTCTGCATAGTACTACTTGTAAGATATTATACTATAAAATTATAAATGTGAAAAGAACTTTCTGTTGTGTCCTACAAATAACTTTATAAGGTGGGAAAGCCACACAAAAATGACTGTAGGGCCCGTTTAATATTATTATAGGTACTGCTGTGGGCATTTTCGTTGGGTTGAAAAACCACACTTACTGGTATATATCCATATAGAAACATACAAAAATTCAACATATTATGATTTATGATACCTTATTGCAGTTGTGCCAATAGAAGCGTTCAGAAAATTGTTGACCAGTTCATTTCCTAACTTGAAGGAACACATCTGAACAATTCCTTACTGTCGTTGCAATAGAAATGTTGATAAAATATTGCACCAATTCATTACCTGACATTGATCAATTCATTTGGTCAAAAATTGCTTAACTTCCTGTTTACTGGCATGCTTGTTCCCAATTGGTCAATCAGTTACTGAAACGTAAAGCCATTGGTTGATTCAAACACACAAGAAGTTGACCATTTTTCAACAAATGAATTGATCAGCTGTAAGTAATGAATAGCCTCCTGCACAGGCGTTGTTAGTGGCCCGAGGTGGGGCCGTTACAACACTTCCATTGCAATGACAGTAAAATTTTGAAAATTTCTTCAAAAAGTTCCTAACTTCCTGTTTCATTGACCAATCAAATTTTATTTTTGAGCAATCTGATTGGTCAGTGAAACAGGAAGTTAGGAACTTTTTAAGGAACTTATCAAATTGTTGAGGAATTGTTCAGAGGAACTCCTCGGAGTTAGCTACACATCGGCACTGCATGCTCATATTAAAGGTGCCCTACAGTCCGTATGTCAACAAAGCCTTTGTTTACATTTTTGTGTCCAAAATACTTTAATCGACAACTATTTATATTTTCAAGCTTCTAGAGTATAATAAATGATCAAGAAGCAACAATCAGGCTTTGCAAGAACCCAAAACATAGTTAAACTGTTTGTATCATAAAAAGTGGGCTCCTTTGTGCACATGCGCAAATCGGACTGTAGGGCACCTTTAACAAAGGGGGCATATATAAACATTGCCAAAATTTTGTATCTTTCCAACTTTTTCGAATTGAAACGTCTATTTTATACTCATTGCAAGCATAGTGAACCAGTGTTAAAAATAAAGTGTTAGATATGTTGTGTTAGATATGTTAAAAATAAAGTGTTAGAAGTGTTAAATAAAGTGTTTGATTAGGATAGGATAGGATAGGATAAAACTTTATTTGACTACGCTGGCCACTTCAACCATAGCTGCTTTCCAAGTGGGGCGTAGATAAATGATACAAAAATAGATAAAATACAAAATCACTAAGAAAATTAAGAACTACGAATACAAATACATATTACAAAACAAATGGTATACAAAACCAAATAGCTAATTCGTCAGACTAACAGAGGAAATATTTCTATTGAAAGAATTTAAAGATTCGCTGTTTCTTACTTGTTCAGGAATGCTATTCCAGATTTTAACCCCACTATATCGAAAACATTTTCTGCCATACTCGGTATTTGGTCGTGGCAGAAAGAGAGACGAATTTGAACCTCGTAAATTATAACTGTGGATATGGTTAGAATTCTGGAACATTGATGAGAACCTCGATGGTGCCAAATTATTGACAACCTTAAACATGAGACGGGCCATATTATGTTTTCGCCTTTCTTCCAAGCTTATCCACCCTAATTGATCGAGGGCCAGTTGAGATTGCCCAGGCTCATCTTTAAAGTTCATTATAATTCTAGCACATCTGTTGTGAAGTTTTTGTAGTCGTTCAGACTGGTCTCTATTAATGGAATTCCAAACTTCACAACAGTAGTCGAAATGGGGTTGGACAAGACCATAATAGACCGACTTCAAAGTATCAGAATTAGTGAAATCCTTTATCTTTTTCATGGCACTTATTCCAGAAGATATTTTTTTAGAAATTTGGTCAATATGACTGTCCCAAGTTAAAAATTGATCAATTTTGACTCCAAGAGTTTTTGTAACTTGAACCCCTTTAATTGGTTCATCTCCAATAAAAACACGCGGTTGTTCTTCTAACATGTTAATATTGTGGCGTGATCCAATCAAAAGATATTCCGTTTTGACAAGGTTAAGAGAGAGCCTGTTCGATAGAAGCCATTCTCTGATATTATTGAGATCGACATTAACGGCCACCTCCGCTTCCTTAACTGATTTACCGGACACTGTAATGTTAGTATCGTCGGCGAACATGCGTGCTGTAGAGTGTTGTAAACAATTCGGCAAATCATTGATATAAATTAAAAACAGAAGTGGACCCAAAATTGAACCCGGAGGAACGCCATATTTTAGATATTTTAGTGTGGAAAGTTCCCCATTTACTTGACATTTCTGAGATCGATCTGATAAGTACGATTTGAGAAGCATAAGAGGCATGTTCTTAATACCATATAACTCTAGTTTAGCCAGTAAAATGTCGTGGTTTACCGTGTCAAATGCTTTTTTTAATTCGAGAAAAACGGCAAGATTATACAAACCACGATCCATATTAACATACCACTCATCACTACAATCAAGCAAAGCAGTGGACGTGGAATGAAAGCGCCTGAACCCAAACTGCTGTTCAGACAATAAATTATTGGTGGTAAAATATTCGTATAACTGCTCATACAAGATCTTTTAAAATATTTTGCTGATGACCGGCAAAATTGATATTGGCCTATAATTGTCTAAAAGGGAGCGTGAACCCTTCTTATGAAGCGGTATAACTCTAGCAATTTTCCATTCAGAGGGGAAAATTCCCATCCCAATAGCAGAGTTAAACAAATTGGTCAAAGATGGTGTAATTACAGAGGCAGATTTTTTTAGAATTTTAGCCGGTATTTTGTCACATCCAGTAGATTTAGAAATAGACAAATTGTTAAGTAGCCTAAAAACCTGTGATTCGTTAACAGGATGCAAAGTAAATTCCAAACTAGTATTTAGATTATCACTCATATGCCTGCCAAAATTTAAATTCTGAGTGTGTTCAGAGCAGGAGTCTCCAATTTTACCACCAATACTTGTAAAATAGTCATTAAGACAATTAGCCATTCTCACAGGAGAAGTAATTGTATCATTTCCTAGCTTTAATTCGTTAATCATTGTGTCCTTCTTTTTTCTCCCAAGGATATCATTAATCGTCCTCCAAGCCTGTTTTGGATTGTTTTGATGTTTGTCAAATTTGCTTTTGTAGTAAACTTTCTTAGCTTCACGCATTGCAATGTTGACATTATTCCTATAATGTTTATACTGGCTCCAATCTTCACTTAAATCCGACAAAATTGCTTTTCTTTTCAAACGGTCCCTTTCAAACATTTTGTTTCTGATATTCCTAGAAATCCATGCCACAGATGTTTTATTTCGTACCCGTCTTTCCCTAACTGGGGCATGTTTATCAAGAACAGTTATAAAAAGATTTTTCCAGCATGCCCATTTATTATCAATATCAGTTTCTCTGTCAACTAAATACCACGGTAAGTTTATAAGGTTGACTTTGAAATTCTCAACATTGAAATGCTTGAAGCTTCGAAATTCGACTTTTTTGCTAGCGTGAGGTTTAAGATATGAATTAATTTTTCTTACTACATAAATTAAACTATGATCACTCACTCCCATATGAATTACATCATGAAATGCAATTCGCTCAGGACAGGAGGTAATACAAACGTCTAGTAACGTAGAAGACGATTCCGTAATCCTTGTAGGCTTATCGATTACTTGTGTAAGTTGATAAAGTTGCATAATAGAATGTAAGTGTTTAGCAGAAGAGTTGGACTGGTCTAACAGATTACAGTTTAAATCTCCTAATAAGTAAATTTCCTTATTCTCGTTATCGACATTCTTAAGCAAAGATTCAATTTGTGAGAAAGATTCGACGGTTGCTGACGGCGGACGATAAATAGTAGAAACGATAAAGGAACGAGAGTTGGGCCGGTTAATTTCCAAACATACTGACTCTAAATTTTCCGGCACTAAATCACCACGATTTAAATATGATATCGTCCGCCTAACGTAAAAACAGACACCGCCACCGTGGTTGTCCCTATCCATGCGAACTATATCATATCCGTCAATATTAACAAATTCACTTGGAATATCAGGGTGAAGTCTTGTTTCATTGAGTGCCAGAATATCAACAGTCTGATTTTCTAACAGTAAGCGAATTTCATCAATGTGTTTCGACAAACTGACAATATTCAGTAATGCCATCTTGAAACCCCTAAGATATGGTAACCTATTCGAATACAACATTTCCTCCGAGTTAGTCTGACGGATGTCGTGTCAATTTAAAAAATCCATATAGTTTCTTTGCATTATCGTGCTACCTTTGCGGTTCAAGTGCAAACCTCCACGATTTAAACAATCTAAATCTATGTTAGTATGGTTAATAAAGTCAACATTATTATCTGAGCAGAATGAATTAAGTAGATTGTTTGTTTGATTAACTTTTGTTTGAATTAGATGACCATCTTTTCTGATGGTAAGAGCCGAGATGGCTACTTTGATATGTGCAGATTTTTCTCGCACTTGACTAACTAATTTCACAATACCTTCTACCAACTGATCGGGAGATTTCTCTGACTTAATGTCGTTTGTACCAACGTGGAGAATTATTTGATGTGGGTTGCGACGAAGCAATGGTTTCAAATAGTCTTGCATATCATTGACTTTGCTTCCTGAGAAAGATTTTACGGCAACAGTTCTGTCGGTATTAGACATCTCCCAGCCATGCACATTCTGAATAGAGTCCCCGGCAATAAAGACTAATTTCTTTTTGCCATCTTTTGCATTGTGCTGATTACTTGATCCATTAGCATGCCGCTTTTGTTTATGCTTAGTTGACTTGTTGGCAGGTCTGCTATTTGAGGACTCATTGTCTGCGATCGATCGTTCGTTGGGATTCTCGTTGCGAAGTAGCTATAGAGCTGGGGTCATCGACTTTGCTTCTATCGTCGTCATAATCATAAATGTTGGTTTCATTGCCGCCCGTATCACTCAGGACATCAAACGCGTTTCTCGTAAGCCGCCCGTATCACTCAGGACATCAAACACGTTTCTCGTAGCCAGTTAGTATACCATATTTTACAAATATAGCCAGTGCATTTTTTAAGGATTCTTCAGTGGTGGGGCAAAACTGCCAAAGGGCCCATCAGGGCCGTAGCTAGCATCTATAGTTGGGGGTATAGGCCAAACATTTCTGAATTACGAAAAAAAAATCCGAATATTTCATGGCATACGAAGCCACAAAGGTGTTTGCTATCCGGAAAATGGAGACGCAATTTACAAACACAAATACGTATATTTTACGCACAGAAATATTACAGTAGCATGCAGTGCTGTAGGAAGCTCCATTTGATTGGGGGTTGAAAACAAGGGCTGAAGGCCCGAGGAAATTTTCAAATTTTGAGTCTCTGAAATGCCATTTCCTGGACTTTGGGGGAAGTTTTGACAGAATTCTGATGGTCAGAAAACAGCGGTTTAGTATGTTGAAATTTACAATTCGCCCCCCCCTGGTTGCTACGCCTCAGAAGTAATAAACCGAAAAACTCTTACCGATTCACGATTTGTTAAATGTTATCCATGTAAATGCCATGATTTTGTAAATCAGTTTATACTGACAATACAATTATATTATATTTTATCTGTTTAACAACTAAAATTTTGTTATATTATTACTGCCGTAATTTTCCGAAAGGCCAACTTGGTTTTCCAAATATGTTAATTCTAAAAAAGTTGGGGGCTAACCACCCCCTTCCCCAATACCCCATTGCTACGGTCCTGGGACCCATTTTCCTTGCCCTTCCCCAGGATAGTATGCGATCGTTGAAGGTGTGAGCCGAGTACCGCAGGCAAAAGTTAGCTATGGGGGTATGGGGGCATGCCCTCCCAGGAAATTTTTAAAATGTGGGTCTCTGAAATAGCATTTCCTGCATTATGAGAATACATTTTTTTAAAAATCTCAGCTTTTCAAAACAAAGTTCTAATGGTGAAAATTATTTGTAATAAATTGCATGCTAAACATTCAAACACAACATAAGTTTAAGTATGCTCACCAACAAATTTTGTTTTTTAAATGTTGTTTCAATGTTAAACTCGTTTACTCAATACAGGTCCTAGGGCCCTGGCTTTGGGGCAATAGGCCATTTTTTTTCTTCAGTGGTGAGGCAGAGGAAGGGGCCTAGTGGGCAAATGCCCCACCACTCTATGGTATTAAAAATGCCTTGAATATAGCAGTTCAGCTATGGCTTTCCATAAAAGAAAACCAAAGATGAAAGATGATCACATTGCTTGTTTGCCTTATGCCTGTTTATTAGACGATATACGGACTTTACATAATCTTTAATATTGACATCTAGTGCAATCACAAATATTAAAAAAATTGTGTTGGCATGAGGTTAAGTTATTTTTTATATTAATATTGAAGCATAAAACTTTACTTTTTAAGTAATGGATGTAGTAATGAGATATTTCTCCATTGATTTATTGACCACATCCAGATGTTGAAGTGTGCAACACTGCCAACACGTAAACGTACTAATGGTGCGCAAATAGAATTGTAACTAGAAGTAATAAATTATCACCTATCTAATTTTATCTCTTTGACTTTGTTTCCATACACTGATAGGATAATGAGAGACATGTCGTACTGTAATGACTAATATCGGGTACAAACACACAAAATATATTATTAATATAATAGTTATTAAAAATCTCTGCAAAAGAAATACCTCATTCAAATTGTTTAAAGTTTTTAAATGCACAACTCACAATTACTGTTTATGTAATTTATGTCGATGCATCCCAAATCAGTTATGAAAGTAGCAGGGAAATTATTCTTTGTCCTTTGATATTTTATTTTCGATTTCAGGTCAATTTTCAAAGCGTGGTTGTTCTGAACATTCATAATTACTGTACGTTTCTAAATTTGGAAATTGGGTGTAAAACTTGCAAGCCACATTTGCAAATTGTTTACTTTTAAAAGGAGCGAATTAATATTGAGTTATAGATTATAGTACCAAAGTAATGAACATAAATTCATAATTTTGTATTATTTTACCAACATAGTCAACGAATTGAACGTATTTGTTAAAAACGTTAATAAATTATTCGTCAAATGTGTTTGCCATATTTAAGTATAGTAAAACACTAGCAACTTGCTAAGTGGCTTTGCAAATTCCAATAATCAATATTCCAAATTTAGAAACGTATTAAATTAAGTGTTTAATAAGAATAGTCACAACAAATTTGTGAATCGTGCGTCGACAGTAACATCGATAATTTAAAAACAATCACATGTCAAAAAGAAATTACTTTGTTTCTAAAGTTTATACTCAACAAAATTCCCTATCATCTTGAATGTATTGTCTATTAATGTACACGAAATAGTATTACCTGCTTGCTACTTCCTCCTCTAATCATAAGAACCGTATTAATTCTTTGTAAAAGACTTAGCTCGTGCCATCTTTGATTCATCAATATGGAATAAATCAAGCAGTACTTTACACGCAAACTTGCAGGTGTGTCTGCAAGGTCACACATTTCTCCAGCAACAGCATTCAAAATGTCTATGAAAAATGGTGCAAATTTCACAATCTCCTTCCAAACATTGTCAAATTCAAACTCTGACATTTCATTATAATCTTTTTTGTAAAGAACAGAACCATTTGTGCGGCGGCAAAGATTTTTCTTACATGACTCGGACAGGCTGTTTACCATCTCGCGTTTGACGGCGTAAAGTACGACAGGTGTCTTGACCATAACAATATGGGCAACGGCAGTGGGCTCTTTCGTTGCAACACTTCTTTCCAGAGCCGCGATCTCTGAGGGATTTAATTGTTTTGCCAAATAGACACCAGTTGACTTGCTTTTAACGGACGCAGGTTGTTCTACTTGTGTGGAAATTTGAATTGACACGGTGGACGGGGCAATATTATGACGATGGACTGACACAAACTTTTTGAAGCGAGGAAGTTGATTTGTTAAAACGTCCTCCGTTGCTGTACACAAAGGCTGCATCTCTAGATCTATCGATTGCGGTTGTGTTTGCAAAGTGTCTTCGACATCGGTTTTGTCAAAAGTCAATCTCTTTGAAGAAATTTTGGTAGGCGTAGCTGGCATGGATACGTGTTTCTTTCTCAAACTGCCTCGAGAAGGCGACATTTCGATCACTCTCTTGAAAAATGATTTTTGTTCAAATACTTTTTGGGTCTGAATAACCTTTTCCTGAAACTCAAGAATTTTATCCAAAGTTCTTTCGCATTTACGGCACACAACATCAGAAGAACCGTCATTCTGAACACACAATCTCGTTGATTTTATAATTTTATCCTTCAATTGCTTCTTTTGACCAGATTTAGTAAAAATGTTTATAGTATACAGAGGCTCGTTACCGCATAAGCGGCAAAGATTCCCCAAATCGCGATAAAATGTTTTCGTTGGTGTTACTTTTTGTGCAATGATTTAAATATATACATTATACAACAAACTTGTCAAGTTCAGTTATTTTTAGACAATATGGTGTTAGCCAATCAGAATGCAAAATCGACCGGCCCAGACCAGGGCTTCCTCGTGTCTTGCCTCGTCCCACACTGAAGCCCTGGGAACGAGGTTGGCTTGTGTGATGTTACTCTGATTGTATATCCTCAGCAGGCAGGCTTGAAAAATATACCTGGCCACGGTGGGATTCGAACCTACGACCTTTGGAGTACTAGCCCAATGCTCTTCCAACTGAGCTACGTGGTCAGGTCAGTTCGAGTATGCAATATTTCGGAACTTAGTCTAGTTCCTTCGATATCAGTGTAATCTTTTATAATCATTTGCTGTGTTGGTGTAATGTACTCAGGTGAATAAGATGCTTACGAGTGTGATGTTACTCTGAGTGTATATATATATATATATGTACACCACCTGGCCACGGTCGAAAATATGCCTGCCCGGTGTGGATATACACTCGGAGTAACACCATAACATCACACAAGCATATAAAACTAAATGAATTCATATAAAGTTTGAAAGTTGCCACACAACCCATCGAATTGACAACTTTTATCTAAACTGACCCACCTATATATGAATAAATATTAATAGAAACTTATGAAAGTACCAGTTAATTGGAAACAAATCGATAAACTCTGTCAAACCATGTTTACCTAGGACATACCTAGGTAGGCATATGAGAATTGAGTAGATCAAGTAGATGCCAAGCTATATTATTTTATACAAGGAACACTTGATCTGGCAATCCGTCATATACACAACTAGTCTATTTGGCATTACAACAAACATAATTTGATATAAAGGCTGAGTCAAATGTAAGCCTTTGTATAAAAACTAATGTATTTATATTGTCGCAGCGAATTCAAATTTTAAGACGGAACACATGCTCAAAATTCACGAATGAAGATAGTAAATATTTCCTTCCAAAATTGCTGTTATATAGAAAACAAAACAATATTCTTACCTGGAAGTTACTCAGTCATCTCTGATGTTCCATCTTCACTAAAATATGCCATCTTCCAGTAAAATACTATAAATCTTTCGATCGAGCAGATAAAAATTCACTGCATTTCAAAAATATGGCGGTCTGATCGAATGATGCTATCCCAGGAAGCTTTGTGCGTGTTGTAGGAAAACTAGGCACCAGTCTGTCAACCGTCAAAAAGCGCTCATCATGAGAATTTTCGTTTTCAAAATGGTCTTTTGTATAACAAAAATACCTACCTCCACAAGCTATAATATAGTTCCCATGAAGTCATGAAGAATTTAAGATTAACTCAATCCCTCAATCAAAACATTGGTATCGAAATTGAGGAGACCGGACTCAGGCCTGGAACACCTGGGGGCCCAACTTGTGGGCAGGGGGCCCTGGCATGCTGGAATTGCGAAATTTGTAAAATTAAGGATTTGTTCGGTGAATTATGCAATTTTCTGGGAAATTTAGGTCGAAAATTAGTGTTGTGAAAAATTTTGGGGACTTTCGTTTTCGGAAACATAACGTCGCCCCCCCCCCACTCGCGACCGTTTTCCGGAAAAGAAAATGTTTTCGAGGGGGCCCTGCTAGGGTAGGGAGGCCCAAATTTTTTAATACGCCCCCCCCAATCATATACCGGTTGGCACGGCCCTGTCAGTTTATGCTATAATAATTAGTCAGTATAGTCTTTTAAATATAAAATGCTTGAAGAATTAAGTTCAAGAAACTTGAAGAAGGAATATCTTCAAAGAACTGCCAACATTTCACATGTTGTCTTTTATTCTCCTGTAACATAATGGTTGTAAATGTAGTTTCAAATCGAGTTGCAAATCTAGGGTTAAAAAAAGGTCAAATCTACTCTTTTGAATTTTAATGCAGTGTAGGCCAGTTCCAATTACAATTCACTATGACATGAATTACGTGTATGAAATTACTTTAATTGTCATATGCGAAATGTATAATTTCATAATATGTGAAATATATGACTTGATTTTTGATATATGAAAATTCTTATATGAAATTACCAAATTTCAGTGTGAAATGGATTTCATATATGAAATTTAGTTTTTCATATGTGAATTGTATAACTTCATATATGACTTGATTTTCATATATGAAAATTCTTATATGAAATTACCAAATTTTACATGTGAAATGGATTTCATATATGAAATTTAGTTTTTCATATATGAAATTAAAATTTCATATATGACCTGCTTTTCATATATGGAAATTTAATATGTGAAAAAGAGAATTTCACATATGAAACTGAAATTTCATATATGAAATTACCTTTTCACATGCGAAATTCTAATTTCATATATGAAAATCTTCATTTCATATATGAAATTCCAATTTTATATATGAATTTTAATGTGAAATTTTTGTAAGGGAACATCAATTTTACCAGTTTCGTTTTGACGAAATTTCCTATAATTCATAGGTTAAAAAGACCACAACAAGTCTTAATATTCGTCAAAGTTTCAATGTCGTAGAGGCATCCGTTTATCTTTTATAATAAATTTTATGAAAATTCACTAAGGTTACAAAAATGCCATGTTGCTAGAAAAATTAGTAACTTAAAAAAAGTTGTGTATGGAACCGACAACAAATGAAGGCAATCCTATAACATTAATGCATTTGATTACAACAAACTGCCTACAAAGTTTGGTCCATCAAGATTAATTCTATGGTTGGGAAATAAACCTTCTCTCTTTACCGTGAAACGGTGCGCTGCCAACGTCCATCTTTAATTAACCACAAGCAACAGTAGTAACTATCCACAGGTATTTTTCTTCACATATTGTGTACAGTCAATTTCATTTTACATATTAGACAAGTTAATCAGCACCTAAATGAGTCAACGAATCACTGATAGCGTTTGCGCAAACCCTTTGTCGCGTTCCGCCGCGATATTCTATCGATCAATCGAAAAACAGTCGTCTCAAAAACACATATAATTCTTCCAAAATATCACATCACAAAATATATCTACACTTGTTTATTAGACTCGGGCTTATATAGAGCCTGATTTGCATTACGCCTACACAGTACAGAACAATACATTTACAAACACAATACAATTACACATTACAAATTACAAATACAATAGCCAGTCAACCATGCTGCCATATTCCCAACATCGCCCCCAACTAAACCATCAAATTGTCCCAATGATGGTGCATGCACTTTCTAAGTCTAACTGTCCGCCTCCGAATTCCAAAGTTCTGACTGATCACCGCGATACGCCCACAAACGATTCCGATGAATCACCTTTAGTTTTCCATTCCTGCCTCGCTGAATTCTATGAACAAGATCGTTCAACCGTTTAATGACCACGTACGGTCCTTCCCAAGGTCGCATTAACTTTACGCTTCTTCCTTTCTTCTTGCGGGGATTATACAACCAAACTTGATCACCTTCGTTAAATATACATGCCGAACTGTCCACGTCATAACGTTTTCTCATCGACTCAAAGCTTTGTTCAATATACTTTCGAGCGAAGTCATGTGTCACTTGCAAATTTTCTTGCAGTTCTCGAACGTAGGTAGAGTAACTTTCAAGAACTTCCGGATCGGGTCGTTCATAAACTAAATCAATTGGGGTTCTAATTTCTCGTCCCATCATTAGTCGCGCGGGGGTAAAATGCGTAGAAGCATGAGTTGCCGTTCGATACGCCATGAGAAGTAGTGGTACATACTTATCCCAGTCTTTTTGATGTTCGGCAACAAACAAGGAAAGCTGAGTCTTTAATGTTCTATTGTAACGCTCAACCATTCCGTCTGATTCCGGATGGAGAGGTGTAGTTCGAGTTTTCTTAATACCAAGTAACGAACACATTTCCTGAAACACGGCTGACTCAAAATTCGTTCCCTGATCAGAGTGCAGTTCGAGTGGAACTCCAAATCGGCATACAAACTCATTTACTATAACCGTAGCAACTGTTTTTGCCTCTTGATTTGGCAAAGCATATGCTTCCGGCCACTTCGAAAAATAATCCATGACCACTAGTAAGTAGCGATTACCTTTCGTAGATCGAACCAGAGGACCCATTACATCGATTGCAACCCTCTCCAATGGCGCGCCAACGACATACTTTCCTAGACAAGCTTTCTGTCGTGTCACTGGACCTTTACGTGAAGAACATTCCGAACAAGTAGAACACCATAGTGTTACATCTTCGCGACAACGAGGCCAGTAGAATCTCTCCTTTACTCTTTCCAGCGTTTTTTTTACTCCAAAATGTCCTCCGGTCGGGTGATTGTGAAGATGCATTAAAACTTCCTCTCGTAAAGCTTTCGGTAACACGAGCTGAAATCGTGTTGTTGTACCGTCCGATGATTCCCACTTTCGATACAAAATATCATTTCGTAAACACAAACTGTCCCATTGTGCCCAGCAATTCTTCGTCACTTCGCTAAGAGCTGACACTTGGGACCACTGTGGTCTTTCATTACCACTTTTCATCCACTTAATTACATGTCCTATGTCTGAATCCATTTCTTGAGCTTTTACTATGTCTTGCGGGCCCACATTTTCAATAAAATTTTCGTGTCCCAAATCATCAACATCTGTATCCTGAGCAGGCGATTGCCTTCTAACACGATTGGCTATCAAAGTCAATCTATGATTCTCATTTTCACATTGACCTTCGCTTGCTGTACGCTCTTTTGTTTCAGCTCTATCACAA